GCGGAGGGACGGCAGGAACGGTGGGTGGCCCGGCCCTGCTGGCGCGGCCAGTCATGGGCAGAGGAGCTGCTCTTCAGGCCTCTTGCCCCACTGAGCACCACCAGAAGCTCCGAGGTGGGAGATGCACCCGATCCACTTTGCATTTGAGTCGAGACTCCAATAGCCAGTTTAAAATGATACATGCCAGGGGCCGGAAGGTGGCGCGGTGGTAAGGCGTTCGACTCACACCTGGTTAACTGCTGTTCAAGTCCCACACCCAGCACTTGAAAATCACACTGGCACATTCGCATGCACGCTCCACGTTTCCTAAGCCCTGTCCGTCCTCGTAAATCGAGACTGGATCTCCCACCCTCGGTGATGACCCTCCACAGTCTTCTCCCTGCTGCTGTGGCACAGCCCACGGGGAGTAGCTCGTACACTGCAGCCTCCAGCCAGCCTCCAGCAAGCCTCCCTCCTCCAGTTCCTCTGAATGTTTTAAGACGGTTCCCGATCCTCGGTGGTGGCATTCGTGTTTGCTGATGCCGTGATAGGGCCGTCCTTCCTCGCTGCGTTTTCCGCCCAAAGAACCTTCCACAGCACCCCGGTCCCCCGCTCGCGCTCAGCCCGCGTCTCTCCTGGGGCGTTTCCTCTGCGGGCGGATCCAGCTTCGCCTTCCTCCAGCGTAAACCGTCCAGGAAAGGGCGCAGAGCCGCCCCCCACGAGAGCGTCCTCCTAAACACTTGGGAAGGCATTTCTGCTGCTCCTCCTTGTCCTCTAAGATCACCTGGGTCCTTTGGGGCAACACGGGAAGAGGCTTTCCGTAATTCCTAGGCGCGCTGGGGCACCTGCTGCAAAGCTGGCGGGCTGGGTCTCGTGGAACCTCTCTGAGCCCAGGGCCCTCGTCGGGACTTGGGCGCACACACCGGGTTCCCGTAACAGTGGAGTGTAGACTTGTCTGTGAGCTAGAGTGTACGCTGTGAGGACCGGGTCTCACCTGACCTGCCGCGTTGTACACGGTGCTTAGCAGACGCTCGTGAGAAGCTGAGGGAATCAGCTCAGCCCTGCACAGAGGAGACCCTCAGTCGCTCCGAGCCTTCCCCCTGCCTCGCTTCCCTGAGTTATAACCGCGGCCCTGCTCTTACGGGTTTTTCTCTCCTCAGAGGGAATTTCTCTGCATTTGGAGTAGAGAACTGGGTGATTTGAACTTTCAGACACTTGCTTTCTCTTTTTTTTTTTTGGAGAGGTTTTTTCGCTATAGGGCGCGTGCGCTCGCCAGACAGACAGAGAGAGACGTAGAGACAGAAAGCGAGAAATCACCCCCCAGGGGGGATGGTCACGCCGCAATCCCTTCTCCTCCATTCT